ATGCCCAACAACACTATTCAGCTTAGAATTGTTTGAGAAGCTCCCATGGCCACTGCAAATTAAGAATATGAACAAGATCAAAAACCCATTAATTCAAGCATGCCCCTTTTGACTAATGTAGTCAAATGGTTGATTATAGGTAATCCTATATTGATGGCTAAAATAAGTCATCAAGAGTCCTTTTCATATGAAATGTCATAACAATTCTTGTTTGATGTACATCTAGAAAATTGTATACCCAGTTTCAACCCTAAAAAACGACTAGTTTGACCATTAAAGTCAAAACGAAGAACAGAAAGATGAGAAATTATAGATTACCAATCATGGCCGAGAACAAAAAGAGCCCAAAACATGGTCCCTTGAGCAGCCCAATAAAGCGGCCAAACAAGCCAATTGTTGAGATAAGCTGCAGCTGCTGCTAAACCAAGAACACAAGCGACATCCCTTATGACATAACTCATAGACCTCCATGGATCCTTCACCCAACAATGTTTCGGTATAGCAGCCCTAATATCAGCCAAATTGAAAGGCGGTGGTGCCCCTGCGTCAAATTTCTCTTCTTCTTTCACAATCTCTTCATCAGAACTGATTCTCTCTCCTCTTTCGCGCTCTGAATTTTCCCCATCTATCGATGGTATTTTAAACGGAGCACTCACTTTAACCTCCCATTTGGAAAACCGATCTGGGGTCGTCGTTCTTGATGAAAAGATTGCAATTGGATCCTTAGAGGGTAAAAGGGTGACAGGGTTATGATTGTTTTTATGGATAAACCCTCTTGTGGGTATGGCAAGAGATTGGGAAAAGGGTTTAATGCCGCACCCTGATAACACCAATCCTGCCATTACGAGAGAGTGAGAGACCAAGAAAGATAGTGGTCTCTCTTCCTATATCTCTCGTCAGTCGTCCCTCAAACCCTAGCTAGATATTTGTAAAGAATGTTTATATAATAGGAAGAGCGAATATTGGAGGTGAATGAAGGTCCAATGGGGATAAAGTAGGTATTGTGGCTGGTGGTGTTGTCGCTAGTAGAAAACTAGAAATAGAACAAGAAGTTGGAATCTCTTTTGGTTGATTGATTGAAAATTTGATAATAGGATCAAATGCGAAACTTTGCAATGCATTTTATTCCTTTCTAACTTATATAATAAAATATGTACTATTGATTAGTCTTAATATTAAAGATAGTATATAACATTAGCTCACTTATTTTAATAAGTATGTATATAACAACATTTATAAGGGAAATTAAATAAACTAACCTTTATAAACGATGAGTAATTTAATAAAAAATAATTAACTTTTTAGAAATTTGAAAAAATGACCACCGTCTTGAGGATATGGTATTCCGGAGAAGCATTATTCATTTCGCAGAAGTTGGTTGTAGGTATAGTTTTGAATTTAAAATCTGACATTGTATATTTCGGATTGATCTAGTTAATTTCGAAGTACGGTAGTCAAAACCGTACATATAAGATTGACATTCCGGAAACCAAAAAATTAGGTTTTCCTTCCCTATATAACATGTGGTATTCAATTTAGTTATCAACTTACAACCAGCGGCAGACGCATGAATTATAGTTGTAGTTGCACCTTACACCAATAGTTGCATATATATATATATATATATATATATATATATATATTTTTAGTAGGTGCACCTTAATAGAAAAAGAAATTACACTACGACATAAAATCGAGTGGTCTCCTATCTAAATCCGCCAATTCTTACAACAAGAATCCATAATTCTCTATTATAATTGCTTGAAGATGAGTATCTCAGACAACGAACACAAAGAAAGCTTTATCAACTTGCATGTTTACATGCCCAACCGTGGGAGGATGAACCATCATAGTTACACAAACATCAAAACTGGTGTTATGGATCATTTTCCAACTTTGTTTTGTGCCTATTGGATGTGTGGTAAAATATTTTTTCTTCAAATTTTAATTGTTTATTTAAATTTTATAATGTTTTTACAACTAAATATTTTATTTTCTCAAAAAAAAAAAATGCAACTTTATGTATTCATAGATTGTTTGATGTATGTCATTTTTATAGGTAGTGACCCTCTAAGAGAGGACTACTGTGACATCCCCTATTTTCCAGAACCGAAAAAAAAACTTTTTTTATGCTTCCAAAATCATATTATCTTTATTTGCGGAAAATCTCAGTATAATCATACATTTTTGCGAAAATTGTCTCATTTTATTAAAATATCTTGAGTACAAGTGTTGGTTCAAGATACAAAACCTAAAAGATGTCATAATCAATACACAACATATGTTACAGCGTAAAAACCTAACGGCCCTGAACACTATTGCAGGTTGTCTCTTAATCACTCAACATCCTAATCAAGTTCCAACAGTTTAAGCCTTGATACATATGACGCATATAATTTGAGTGGGCCAGGTTAGGAAACCTGGTGAGACACATAAACTTTTCAATCCCACAATATTATTATGATAATAAGCCATAATTTATCAAACCTGCAAAACCCACTATTATCCAATATTATAGATATAACTCAAAACTCAGATGTCTATAAAAAATTACACCCAGACATACCCATCCCAATCGATTCTCATAAATCCTAATTTGTGATTATCGGGGAGAATTAACTCAGCTAGAGAATCTTTTAGAGTAATGGTTTGACTACACAACTAGGGGCTTCCTTGTCCAGTATAAGCCATAAAGGCACTCAAGCCATCAGAGTATTTAATAAATATGGCATCCCATTTCATCTACGTTTGTGGGTTATAAGTCCATACTAGCAACGTAATTCACAAGACTATCTAGAATGCCAAGTGTTGTTATCTTACTTTGATAGATAACCAGACATACTGTTTCAGTTGCCTGACCGGACCCACCATATCTGGTGTTGTCCAAAGGAATACAATATCATACTTTGATATTGTATGAATACAATATCATACAAGTGTAATAAAGCTCTCGCCTATGACATATTTCATGGTCTCATTCGGTAATTAGCATAAAAATCTTGGCAAGATTATTTACATATTTATTATAAACCTACAATAAAAAGAGTGTATATATCGGTTATGCAAAATTTATTAAAAATAGGGTTATTGTCACTGTAGCCTAACAAAGTTACGTATAATGGTTTAAATGGTCCCTCGTGACTATTTTTTGCATTTTAAGGGCATAAACTTGTTATTTACCGATTGGGAAAGTCATCTTACTCATTTTAGCAGGTTAACCTGCCTCGTCACTTGCCATGTATACATATGAGGTAACCCACTGAGTCAATACCGAGTTGACTCGATGACACATAAGTTGGCACATGCAAAGAGTAATTACCGTCTTTAATTTCCACCAACACCCAACAACCTTACACTGTCGATTCGATTGAGTCCCAGGTACAAGTCTCGAATTATAAGGGGACATACGCATGTGGGGTTTGGAGTAAAACAAATCTGAAAATTGTTTACCATATTCGGGCAAACAATCCTCTGGAAGAACCCTTAAAAAGAAACAATGTCGGCTCCACCACCTTCACCCGACTCTTTAAATTCTGGTGAAGACATCAACTACAATGTGCTCCACTCAATCTTCTGTGATTGTGGTCCGAAGATTACAGAAAACCAAACCGAAATGAAAAGGTTGAAGGAGCAGCTTGGACAGTAGTATATCGTTTGCAGGATCGAACACATCAGTCTCCAGCACAAGCTGGATGACCATGATCAGAAGTTTAAAGTCGTTGGTGTTGCTATGGGTGGCATGATGGTGGGGATGCTCTTGTTGCTGGTGGTTGTGCTCCATTTCCTTGTTAAGCTTGGGTGATGGGTTGATCTGCAGCTAAGGCGGTTCATGGTTAAGAAAGTTATTAGTATGTAGTGTTTGTGTTTTTTTTTTTTGGGGTATTTGTGTTTTTTTGCTGAAATATGTAAAAGACCTCTCTAAATGACAGACATTTTGTAAGTGAAATCCAATGATTAATGAAAGACCTATCTAAATGATAGGCATTTTGTAAAGTTGGGTGATGTTCTTTGTTGATTGTTTTTTATCTTAATTAGTTGTTAATTTTCATTGAATAATCCGTTGAAAGTGTAATAGAATTAGGAAGAAGGAAAAAGTGGGGATGTTAGGGACCCCACTTGCCTTGCACAGTGGGGCTAATATAGTCTTTTACACGTACTACCCTTTCATATATACCAAGTAGTTTCATTCTAGCACATTGTTTTCTTCTTCAAATACTCTCCACTTTGAAGGTACATAATGAAGAACATGGAATGTGGATGTGGAGCTGAGGCTATAATAAGAACATCTCGTACTACCAATAACCCAGGAAGGCCCTTTTATGCATGCCCGAAAAAGGTAATTTACCATTTATTCAAATTCTGATGTTAACCCTACTTTTTTTAAGATGTAATAATTCAAGCAAATAGTTGGAATCAGGATGCTCGTTCAGGTTTTATAGCTTGGGTTGATGAAATGCAGTGCAAAAATGAAGGTGTGATCATAAATGGGTTGTTTAAGTCGAACAAAAAGCTTCAAGCTGAGGTCTTTAAGTTGAAGGTTTACGTAATATGTAGTTGGGTATTTTTTTCTGTTTAATCATGTACAAGTTGTAATGAAGGTCAATTGGACCACTTGTTATGTAACTTGTAATGCACTTTGATGTGTTTTGAAACTTGCAATGTACTTTATTTCGTTTAAGTTGTTATGTAACTTGTAATGTACTTTATTTCGTTTAAGTTGTTATCTTTTAGCTTTGATGTGTTTTGTATGCACGAAATATGAACAAGCAAATTAAACAAAGTTAGTTACAACACAACCAAGTTAAAACATAACAACTTGTCCGATTCCAAACTTAATAACCTACTACAACCCAATTCCAAAATTAACACTTAAATCCAACCAAACACAACCAAGTTAAAAGATAACAACTTAAACGAAATAACATCCTAATCATTAAGCTCCAATGGGTTTGCACTGGTATCTCCTTTCCCATCTTTTCCCTTCACCCTCTTAGCAATTTTCATCTTTTTGATTCTATCTGATTTCTTTCTTTTACATCTCCTTCCAGCAGCAACACCTTCTTCTCCTTGACCCTTTTTCCCCTCATGCATTGATTTTGCCCTTGACCCTTTTGCCCTTCATTGACACCTCTTGCTCCTTCACCTTTTTCATTGACACCTCCTGCTCCTTCACCTTTTTCATTGACACCTGTTTTCCTTTTTTTAACATTTAGTTTGAGCCTCCTACCAACTTCAGGTTTTTGCACTTGAGGTCTTTCAGCTTGAGGACATGTGACCTTATTATGCCCCACATTTTTACACACGCTGCATGATATTTTTTTCCCTGCCTTAGACACAGTGTGCCTTGGTAGCTTCTCTGATGCATCTCTTCTTCTGTTAACCTTTGGTCTACCTGGCATTCTTCTCTTCATTGGTGGAAGAGGTGGTATGAAGTCAGTAGGTGGCCACATATTGCTACCATTCATCCCCTGAATTAGATACTTATAGGTGTTCTTGTAGACTGCTCCATAGAACATTGTATCAACATAACCACCAACATATCTATTGAGAAATGATATAGTTGCAAATGAATGCACACATCCATACCCATTAAGTCGCCACACTCTACAAGTGCAAGTCTTCTTGCCTAGGTTAACAGCATAGGACTCAGACATGTTTCTTGTTTCAAATTGGTTTAGACCACTTGGTAAAACCTGCCAATACCTAATGTAGACATAACATAAGTAATTACATACAATTATGAGTTTAAAGATTAGAAAGTACCTTTGAGCTTTTTTTAATTGATTCAGTAGGAGTGTAATTGTTGGGCAAGGCTTGTAATCAGGCCATGAACTACCTTTAATCTTTAAATTGTATATTCTCTCCATAACATACAATCGAATCTCCTCTAACATGGTGATGATTGGCTTTTTCCTAGCATCCCTTATCACACTGTTGAAGCTCTCAAATAAGCCATTCTCCACTGCATCACACATCTTTCCCTCTTGAAAAAAATGCTCTACTCCAAGATTTGGGGTTTGTTTCCATAAGATATGCAAAGGCTGCAGGGTTAAGCACTTCAATCTCCTTTATGGCAGCATTGAATAAAGGCTCAGTGGATGCCTTGTTTGCATTCCAAAACATGGTTTCATAATGCACACCACTGAATCTTTTCCTAAAGTTGGCAACAATATGCCTTGCACACTTCCTATGTTCAGCAGTAGGCAGTATTTCCTTCACATCCCCTGTGCAACAATGATAACATGTTATATAAAATGAGACTAGAATTTATTAAATTAGGAAGTAAAACAACTTACCTTATGCTGATCTGACATTAATGTTATACCAAAACCATTATCCAGTTGAAGGTCATCTCTAAGGTTTTCCAAAAACCATTTCCAATTTTCTTTGTTCTCTACACAGACAACTGCCCATGCAATTGGAAATATGTGATTATTGGCATCTCTTCCTACAACACATATTAGCTCTCCACTACATAAGCCCTTTAAGAAACATCCATCTAAATTTATAACCCTTCTGCAACTCCCTCTCCACCCTTGCTTAAGCTCATCAAAACACAAGTAAAGTTTGCTAAAATAATTCTTACCATCTGGAATAGAATTGACATCAATTTTGACTGTTGATCCTGGATTTGATCTTCTAATCTCATCACCATATGACCACAACTTTGCATAGTGCTCCACTAGTGTTCCTTCAATCAGTTCAATTGCATACTTCTTTGCTCATCTACACTGTCCCATACTCAGATCTATACCAAATTTCTCTTTAACCTCATCCCTAAGTAGCCTCACACTAACCTTTTGTTTCTGTAAGAATTGTGTTGTGTAATGGGTACCTATCCATGAATAATTCACAATTGAACCTAACTTGAAGTTTCTTGCACAATTATGCTCATTTATGAGACTCTTTATCTGGAAAGACTTTTCCTCACTCATCCAAGAAGCCCACATCCTAAACTTGCACTTCCCAGAACAACATTTCACTAATAGTCTCCTACTATCATTTTTTTGTAACATAACTGATAACCATTTGCTACAGCATAGTTACACATCATATGTTTCATTTGTTTAGGACTCACAAATCTCATACCTAATACAGGTTTTTGCTTTTTCCAAGGAACATTCTCATTGTAAATAGTCGGGTCAGTAGAAATTACCTCATCTTCTTGTGGTGGATCATATGTATCTTCACGAGGTGGACTGTGGGGGGTGACTTGCTCATTTGGGCACAACTTACTCAAAAACTCATCATCCTTTGTCTTGTTCATAGGAATGCACTAATCAGGTTCACTGTCCACTTCCATGTGAATGCCATCATCTTGCTCACCTTGCAAATCCTCGTTTGGACCTAGGATATCATCCATACCACCATGTAAATTTTGCATGTCAATTCCATCATCCATATCCATACGACTGTGAACTTCTTCATGATCTTCATTTGCACCAGATAATTGGTCTAAAGAACTGCCAACTTCTGCTTGCTCTTCAAGAATCCATTGATGTACATTAACACCAAGATGGTCCATATATACATCGATTACACAATCAGAAGCATACCCTACTTCGATTAGTTCCATGATCCATGTCATTCGCGATTAACCTTAATCCATCAGGAAAAACAATATCGGGCATGCAAAAGTACACTTTCACACATATCTCACATGCGAATTTTTCAAGGAACTCGACAAATTCCTTCTTGTCCATTCCAGCAAAATCAACATCATCAAACCTTTGCTCTGCTCCATCTGCGTAAGTAATAGAGGGGTACCTGGTAAAAATTCCAGCAAAATGTAGATCAATCTTCATGAAAACGACCATAGCAACAACAAAGTTCCCCGATTTAAGTGACTAACACTTGAAGAAAAGGATAGGACCGAAGAACAGATCAACAACAAATTTTGATGCGGGGAAGTTAAAGAAGAAAGTTTTAGAAAGGGACAGTTGAGGGGTTTAAACATACAATATCTCTCATTAACTCCTATGCACATGTGGCAATGACATGGACTAAATTACTCTATTTGGATATGAGGTGGAAATAAAAAATTGCTAGGTAGGATGGGGTCACCGGGTGACCCCTTCGTTTTTCCAAGAGTGTCATTTTAAAACAAGAAATAACAAGTTTATGCCCTTAAAATGCAAAAAATAGTCACGAGGGACCATTTAAACCATTATACGTAACTTTGTTGGGATACAGTGACAATAACCCTTAAAAGTAATACAATGAAAGTTACAAAAAATTATTTACCTCGTTCAGTGTAGACAAAAAACAATGATTATGTTGTACCGCTGTCCTTCATATTCGAAGGGAAATATATGAATCATATATAATTCGGAAAGAAACCTTGTAGTAGCTTATTGGCAGGGTCTATAAAATGGGGATATACTCATACATTAGGTAGACAAGAGAGATCCAATTTTTTGGAGAAAATGGTGAAATTGGAAGCAAAATGAAGATATAGTGGTGTTCTTACGTCAAGTCATATATAGAGATTTCTAATATAGTTGACTTGACCTTTGATTTTTCAATAAAGTTTATAGTATTTGAGGATTTTCTTCCAATACATGTTCAATAGTTAATACATCGAATAATTAAAATCTAGTGTTAGATTCTATGTATAGAACATTAATCTAGTGGTGTAATATCATTTCATATATTCATGAAACCATCACTAGTTCTGTGTATTTATATTTTAATAAATGGACTAGGTGAATGTTATGGTTTGAATGTAAATTCATTAATGCAAAGTCAAACCATAGTATTAAAATATTCATTTGAATCAGTGTGGATTATTAATGCTTTAGTGGAGCTTTTTTAGTCAAAATGGTTAGATCACCATTGAATCCATTTGGTGTAAAATGAGTAAACTAAATAAGTTTAAATTATGCTATGAAGTTGGGTTATTTCATCATAGTTGCAAAGCATAAATGAAGCCAAATCTAGAAGTCAGTTTTCAAGTTTTGAAGGTTAAAGTTAAAATATAGGAAACGATATCTTTAATTCATGATTGATCAAATTAATGATGGTGTTAGTGAGGTAATTTGATTATTGAAACAAAGCTTTTAACTTTCACTAATCATACTTAGTTATTAGAGTTTGGGATTAGAGGTATTGAATTCAAATGAGACAAGTTATGGAAGCATGTTTGGATTTTAAACTCATTTTGTGAAGGTAATGTTTAATTACACGATCAAGTCCAACCCATGAGAAAATTAACACAATCATATAATCTATTGTTTGGCGATATCATTTTTTTTCACTCTTAATCTGTTGAAGCTCTAGTTGCTTCCATTACTCTTCCATGGATTTAAGGATAATATGTAGATTATAAAATAAGGTGTTATAGTTTAGTTACTTTAATCCAGGTGATTAGAGAGTAATTAGTAGTTGATATTCTAATTCATTAATGCAAAGTCAAACCATAGTATTAAAATATTCATTTGAATCAGTGTGGATTATTAATGCTTTAGTGGAGCTTTTTTAGTCAAAATGGTTAGATCACCATTGAATTCATTTGGTGTAAAATGAGTAAACTAAATAAGTTTAAATTATGCTATGAAGTTGGGTTATTTCATCATAGTTGCAAAGCATAAATGAAGCCAAATCTAGAAGTCAGTTTTCAAGTTTTGAAGGTTAAAGTTAAAATATAGGAAACGATATCTTTAATTCATGATTGATCAAATTAATGATGGTGTTAGTGAGGTAATTTGATTATTGAAACAAAGCTTTTAACTTTCACTAATCATACTTAGTTATTAGAGTTTGGGATTAGAGGTATTGAATTCAAATGAGACAAGTTATGGAAGCATGTTTGGATTTTAAACTCATTTTGTGAAGGTAATGTTTAATTACACGATCAAGTCCAACCCATGAGAAAATTAACACAATCATATAATCTATTGTTTGGCGATATCATTTTTTTTCACTCTTAATCTGTTGAAGCTCTAGTTGCTTCCATTACTCTTCCATGGATTTAAGGATAATATGTAGATTATAAAATAAGGTGTTATAGTTTAGTTACTTTAATCCAGGTGATTAGAGAGTAATTAGTAGTTGATATTCTAATTCATTAATGCAAAGTCAAACCATAGTATTAAAATATTCATTTGAATCAGTGTGGATTATTAATGCTTTAGTGGAGCTTTTTTAGTCAAAATGGTTAGATCACCATTGAATTCATTTGGTGTAAAATGAGTAAACTAAATAAGTTTAAATTATGCTATGAAGTTGGGTTATTTCATCATAGTTGCAAAGCATAAATGAAGCCAAATCTAGAAGTCAGTTTTCAAGTTTTGAAGGTTAAAGTTAAAATATAGGAAACGATATCTTTAATTCATGATTGATCAAATTAATGATGGTGTTAGTGAGGTAATTTGATTATTGAAACAAAGCTTTTAACTTTCACTAATCATACTTAGTTATTAGAGTTTGGGATTAGAGGTATTGAATTCAAATGAGACAAGTTATGGAAGCATGTTTGGATTTTAAACTCATTTTGTGAAGGTAATGTTTAATTACACGATCAAGTCCAACCCATGAGAAAATTAACACAATCATATAATCTATTGTTTGGCGATATCATTTTTTTCACTCTTAATCTGTTGAAGCTCTAGTTGCTTCCATTACTCTTCCATGGATTTAAGGATAATATGTAGAT